GTAAGTTGGTAACAACAGCAAAAAAAAATTTTAGAAGTCCTACTAACCACATAAATAAGCACTTCTGAAGGAATTCTGCAAGAATAGCTAACTTAAAACTGAAAAATAACTTCCTCTTAAAAACAACTAGGTTCTAGAAGTAAACCTATTTTAAGTACATTTCTGAACTCACACTAAAAGGGGGAAGACAACTCCCTGAGATTCCCATCCCCTATCCCCCAAGGGACAGAGAAAGAACTAAACATGAGCTCAGAGGGCTCCAGGCTCCCAGCCATGGAATGAGGACCACAGGCTATGGCTAGCTGTGCACCCAGGAAGCTAAATAAGCCTTAGCGGGCAGCAACCTGGGGGAGCTAAACCTGAAATTCCCTTCTTCAAGTCAGGTGTCTAGGAAGGGAGCAGTGAGGCCTCAGACCAGCAGCGCCCCCTGGCATCAGGCCAAGGCAATCACAACTTCTCTAAGGGAGTAAAGCATCCCCTGTTCAACTACCTCAGCTCAGGTCAAATAATGGGCCCAAAGCCTGCATGTAAATGGTTATAACAGTTTTATTTATAATTTCCCAAAACTTGATATACAATATGACGTCCTTCAACAGGAAAATGACTATTCTAACTGCAGTAAATTCATGCAATGGACTACCAGACCGAAAACAAGTGAGCTATTAAGCTCCAAAAGAACATGGAAGAACCTAAATGCACATTCTGAAATCAAAGAAGACAGTCTAAAACAATTGTCTACTATTTGACTCCACTTTATGATGTTCTGAAAATGGCCAAGCTGCAGAGACAGGAAGAAGATCAGTGGCTGCAGGGGCCCAGGGACTCGGCGGGGACAGATGAGAGGGTTGCTAAGGCAGGCTGGGCTGCTACGAGGCACGAAATAGCAGCTATACAACATGATGCACCCGGCAAAACCCCCAGCAATGACAACACGAAGAGCATCCTAAACAAACAGTGGGCTGCAGTGCACGAAAGCACACCAGGACCAGCTCACCCGGCAGAACAAACGTACCACAGTAATCCTAGATGCAGTAGAAGAGGAGACTGAGAGAAGAGGAAAGATGTGGGCTCTGCTTCCTGTGAAAACTTCCCCTAAGCCTAAATCTGCTCTAAAGTCTATTCAAAAAAGATATGAATTCAAGATGATAATCAAAGATCATCAAAATATAATATTGAAATTATTTTATATTATATTATAAAATATATTTAATATTTAAATATATTAGCATTGCTATAATTACTATATTATTTGTATTATAATATTAATATAAATATATTTTATAATAAATTGATTATATGATAATCAAAATATAATGATATGAGGATCAGAAATGAGAATCATGAAATTCACAAGTACTTCAGATGCTGGTAGGACTATATACAGGCTATCAAAATAGCCATATGGAATCACAGAAGTTAAAAAGCATAACACATGATTTAAATGACCAAATAGGTATGAGTAATAATCATATTTTAGCTATGAAATAGTGTGATGGGTACAGTTCAAAATTCGATTGGTGGAGTAAACTGTTTAAACAACAAATCTAAAGAGAGAGTTGGATAAGTACAAAGAAACTATTCAACATATTGAGTCAGGTGTGGGAGTGCACGCTTATAGTACCAGCACTTGAGAAGTTAAGGCAGGTGGACAGCTGTGGGTTTGAGGCTGCCCTGGGTTACATAGTGAGTTCAAAGCTAGCCAGAACTACATAGCAAGACCCTATCATGAGAGAGAGAGAGAGAGAGAGAGAGAGAGAGAG